GTAGATTCATATCAATTCCACAGAGTTCAATCATAATTATTACTTTACACTTCCTTTGTGGAGAACAAATTAAGTAATAAAACCAGCAGAAAGTTCTTGACTAAATTTTCAGTCTCCTCTAACAGAGCACAAAGGATGTATTACTTGCCATCAAAAAAGATTGCTTACACTTGCCTTAAGTTTACTGTCTGTGACTTTGTCAGCAAAATACACAGTTGTACTAAGTGGACAGTAAAAGGCTGTTGCTGGTTCTTTGCAAACTCTATCCCTCATCACACCTCTAAAAGACAGGTTTTAAATAGCAATAGAGACTATACGAAACAAGAGCTTGCATCAAGTTTAGTTAGAAATATGGAAGGCTTTGTCTTTTTCCAACACAGTACTGACCTCATTTTTAACTGAGCAAAGATACAGTGACATTTATTTTTCACATACAGGACAAAAGTCGAGCCTATGAAACTCTCCCTCGTTTAAAAGAGAGAAGAATCACTATCTTGCTTCCTCCGTATCAGCAAAGTTCAGCAGTGTATTTTCCCTAGGTACATCAGGATGCTTCTGGTATCTGTGCATGTCTTCCTGGAGTTGTCTCTGACAAAAGCATTCTCTCCTTCACCTCCCCCTTTATATAGCTCTTTTTCTTCATTCTTGCATTGCTCTTGCTAGCCTTCCCTGAAGCAAGTGCAGGGCCCCCAGTCAATGAGTTATTCCTCTAACAGATCTGGAAACCTGACAGTCACTACCATACTGACATTGCCTGCCCAAAGTCTTCAGTCAGATAGGCTTAGGTTTCCACTAAGCATGAGAGTAAACGAGGATTTAACATCACCATCAGTGACTCTTAAATATAATAGCTGCAAAACTTGCTTAGAAGGAAACAGAAACTCCCCCCACCACCACCCCACGCCTGCCCTGTCCCCATCTCAAAGGCTTCAGGCTCACTTCCTCTACCTGACATGCTCACCCTCTTCCCTCCGAGGTCCACTAGCCTGCTTTGTATCATTCAGTTCTTCTTAAATGTTAATTCCTTGGAGTGTCCTCTGTGGGCCATCCAGGTTTAGTGTCACTCTCAAGCCCGTGGTTACTTGGTCCCTTATCCTGCTCTGTAAACTGAAATCGGTCTAGTTTAGAAACTTCTCGTTAAGAGATTCTGAATTTGTAATCGGAGCAACAGCCTCGCCATGTAGACAGCTATGTAGTTTCAAAGCAACAAGGTAGGGCAGCAGTGTACAAATTAGCACTAAATCCTCTCTAAGCCTGCATTGTTTTAGTTGTTGGGTTACTTTGCTCTTGGTGTTCATCTGTTTTATTGGTTTTTATTGATTTTTAATCAAATTCTTTGACGTATAACATGTAAAATCATACATATTAATGTATAATAAAGATGTAATATATTTTGACACATTTATGTATTACATA